TTATACTGTAAATTGGGTACGGGTTTGTACTCTGGCTGTACTATACTAACTAAATGTGATTGAATAGATTTCTTAACCCATCAGAGCTCAGGTTTTCTCATAAAAAACAAGTTCAGCATCTGTCTTGGGTTGCCAGGTTCAAGTGAAAAAAAAAATGGATGTAAAAGTGCTTAGAAATACAGCATGACATGACTAATTTTATTTTTCATTGTCTAATTTTACAGTCCTATCATCAAGGAGTCTCATTACCACTAGGGTAACTTCCAACTCTAAAAGTCCTCTGAACCTGTAAGACAGCACAATCTGTTTAAAGGTGTTTTCTTTGACACACTGTTTTCACTTCTACTTTTAAAGCTGCATGTGATGCTGAATGATTTTCTTCAATATGTTTTTAAAAAATATAGTAATACAGAAAACCCATTTCAGAATGTAATTCAAGGTTATGAAATATAAAAAAGCTTTTAAAGGCAAAACAAAGAATAAAAGCCTTTAAAGTGAAAATCAAGGAACTAGAAAGGAAGGTCGGTGTACATAAGAACTCGTCTTGATTTTTTGATGGTGACAAGTGAATCGGTGCCTAAGCTAAAGAAGTAAATACACACGAAATAGTGCAAAATAAGAGCATTTCACAAGCACTTTCTCAACCAAAGTACAATCGCCTTTCACAGAAGAAACACAGGGGTCTTAAACTGGTGGCAATTGGTTCTACGCACTTGCATGCTTTGGTTGGTTTATTAGATGCTTAAAAAATATTTGAACCAATATATAAAAATCAGATTTCACATAAAAATTTCAGTTCCCTCTTGAGAAATCCGGTGACATCATGTTCCCACATGGTAAAGTTTGATGATGGCTGGGAAGTGCGGTTGCAGTTCAAGGAGCACATGCTCTGGAGTTCTCGGTTCCCACTGGTGCTGACGGTTCCCCGTTTACCTTAACTGCCCGACTGCCACGGATACTGAACTCTGCAACACCAGGAAGATACACTCATGGTAGCCATCTGAGTACTGTATGTCAAATAGTCTTACTTTATCACTAGTGGACACTGAGATGCAAAAATACCATCTCTGAGAATTGAACGAGGTACCAGGAACAATTCAGTTTAGGTCAAAAACATTAAGGGTTATTTTCCTTTTGTGAATATTTTATTAAATGATTTCCTTTTAAGTAAGGCCAAGCAATCTAATGCAGAGTTGAAGTAGCGGGGCAGGAATGGTCAAAATGGTTTCTAAAAAGCCAACTTTTGCTTTATCTAAGACTTGTTGCTGATAGATGTATTTTTAAAAGTCTATTACATTTCTGAATGTAAACTAGCATGAGAAAAAGAGAGGAAGTCCAGTAAGAAGTGTCACTTAACAGACACAAAGTAGACACACAGGCAGCCCTCAGGTTATGAAAGAGATCAGTTCCTAAAGGGGGTCTTTTAAGTTGAATTTGTAAGTAAGTTGCAACAAGTGCATGCGACTCTTGTTTAGCTTTAGTGCAAGAAAAGGCTAAAGTCTTTCCAGTAATTTAAAAGTTGCACATGCACCAAGTGAAGGCGATTGTGATAAAGAATTTGTCTTTCCAAAGTGGGGCAACTTTATGTAACATTAATGAACAAGTATCACTTATTCTCACTCAGGCAACTGTCCCCATGCTAGCAGAGTGCTTAATTTGGATTACCAACATTCATCTGCAGATGCTAAGTAACATAATATGTGAAGTAGTTGGAAAGTACAGTAGATCCCATTCTGTTTTACTATTTGGCATCTGTTGGCAGAAAAATGTTGCAACATGTTCAATTTGGGTAATTAATTCAGACTCATGCAAATACAATGTGCAGTGTCTAGCTTCTAAAATGTGCCTAGGATTAAGAACAGGAACTGTTCTTAGTTGAATTTGGATGATGCCATTGGTTCTTGATGTTGTTAGCTAAAGTTTATTACATAAACTGGAATTCATTCTTGCTCAACAATCTTTAGAAGTTCTGAAGGTCCATTTAATTGACAGGGAGGCTGAGGAAACTGTCCAAGGTCCCATATTGCGAGTGGCCTGACTTTAACAGGTTCAAAACTTGTCTTACTTGAATTTGGATCCAAATCTGCTTCCTTGTCCCAAGTGAGCTGATTTCATTCTACACAAAACCCGTAGCTGAGGTACTGCATTACTTGCAGTATTCTGGCCCTCTAGACTAGTGGTTCTCAACCTGTGGGTCGCGACCCCTTTGGGGGTTGTCGAATGACCCTTTCATAGGAATTGCCTAATACATCCAACACAGCAGATATTTACATTACGATTCATAACTAGCAAAATTACAGTTATGAGGTAGCAATGAAAATAACTTCATGGTTGGGGTCACCACAACATGAGGACCTGTATCAAAGGGTCGCCGCATTAGCAAGGTTGAGAACCACTGCTCTAGACCATCCCCACCCCCTTTTCATTTGCCTTTAATGTCCAAATATAAGTCTAGGATTGGAATAGTACTTGAACATGGTACTCTGGAGTTTTCTTCTCGTGATCCCAAGCACTTCTTGAGCCACTGGACAGGGGATGTTTCTAATATGTTAAAAGTTAATCTTGATTTTGCAATTTTTAATAGGCTCTGCTTTATGCTACTACAAAGCTATCACAGAAACACCAGGACCAATTAAGACTTGCAAGAGAATTTCATGGAGAAAAAATAACATTGCTTCAATTGGAATGTGGCCAGAGAGCCAGTAGTTGCCTAGGAATCTGCTTTGATAACATCAAGATTCATCTCTACTTGAATTGCAAGGCCCACACATCTCTCAACAACAGTCTGCAGAGTGCCAGAGGTTGGAAACTCATCAAACTAAGTTGACATCAGCACAGCGTGCGTTGCGTCAGTTCCAAGGGGAGGCCAAGTGGCAGCAGCACTTTATTAAAGGGACATGGTCTATGCTGCCAGCCCAAGGAACAAATCATAATCTACATTGCAGGAATAAATGCTGAACTTTTTTTGTGTGTGTGCATGGGTCACGCTATAGAGGCACATGTGTTGAGAAGTGGGGTGACTTCTCAACTGCTCAATTTTAACTAGTACCTCACAGCATCATGGGTCCATGTAGTTGGTTTAATCATGATTGGAAAAATAGATTGTAAAGCATTCTTGCCAAATATATTAAACTGAGTCTTAAAAGCTTCTAGATCCCCTTCTTGTCTATAACATATAAAGAAAAAAGGGGACACCATGATAAATCTAGCACATGGCATTCAGAAAGACCTGTAGCTTGAACTGTTCAAAATGTCATTGCCACAAGGGGAAAGATTGGGGAACTGTTCTAGATAAAAGCTGTTAATTATGCCCACATATGATATGTAAGTCTGGACATGACCCTGATTTGGGAATGGGTGGAGTGTAAAAGATATTCTTGGGTCAAACAGGAAATTGTGTACATGGACAAGATTTTTAATTTTACTAAATTGTTTATTTCCTTAAATTACTTAGTTTTATTATGGATATGATGCATTTTCTAGAATATCCTGCTTTTTAGGAAATTTAGCAGAAACAATTTCGAACATGTTGGAAAACTTAGGGGAGTGTTTTTAACAATAGATATTGACAATCTATTTCTAGATGGAACAATAATAATGAAGTACATGTGGGAGGGATATAAGAATGGCAAATGTTAACAATTGTCCACCCTAGAGGAAAAGTGCATGCCTGTTCACTGTATTTTCTCAAGTTTTAAAAGTGTACGAACAGTTGCACAGTAGACAATGTGGTGGAGAACCATATCAGAAAAGCTTCAGAGGTGTAGCCAAAGAAAAGATAAAAGATTATGACAAAATGAAACTCTATAAAACTTGGCTGACAGTACCCAGGGCAGGCAGAGACCCAATACATTGAACCCTTCAGAAAGTCTTTACCAAAATAATAGCAACCTATGTAGGGTGAAATGATAGGCAGATAGATGACACAAACCATTCTATTCACCAAGTAAACATGGTAGTAAAGCTAAGAACATAAATGCTGTTATAGAAAAGTTATATTTACGTGATTAAAAAAACCCAAACCAAACTTAACTCCCTATCAAGTCAATTCTGACCCAGCGACCCTGTGTCTGACAAGGGAGAACCACTCCTGTGGTTTCTGAAGCTGTAAACCTTTACAGGAGCAACAAGTTTCATTTTTCTGCCACAGGAGACGTGCAGTCTAATGCATAACCCACTTTGCCAAGGCTAGGCTAGCTCAGCAGCAATTAGTTCCTGCTGGAGAGGATCTGGAAGCGGCTCCAAAGGCAACTAGGGCATTAGCACTGAATCAGATAGGCTTGGTAGTACAACAGCCTTCGGTGATTAACCAAGGGTAGTCTATTTTGGCTGGATCGTAGGTATATAGGACATCAGAGAAACTGAAATAGTTTGCATTGTCGCCGTTGACTGGGAATAAACAATTTTCAATTTACCTTACAGTTCACTAGTCGAATCCGCGCCCAACTTTAGCAGCCAACTGTGTATTATCAAAATGACAGGGCTTGGACAGAAGCCAGAAAGAACTACATGAGATAATGCATGACTTTTCTAAAGAGCCATATGAGAGAAACACGATCTACGGTATATTTTCTAAACTAGTATTCAAAAACTACAGTCTCGGAAAACCATGGGCGCAGTTCTACCCCGTCTTACAGGGTCGTCGTGAGTCAGAATGCCTCGTTGGCAATGAGTTTGGTTTTGAGGGATGGAAAATGATTTCAAGTTTCAGAATTCTTCCAAAGACGTAATAGAAACTTGTCAGAGTCTACATTTTGTTTGGTTTTAGGGCTCCATCCGGCCAGGCCTGGTTCGGGTTGAGTTCGGCCCGATGGTCCAGCGGCCTCATCTCAGAGAGTCTCAGGAGAGCCAAGCAATAGAGGGCCACCGCCCGGTCAATCGGAAAGAAAATCTTTTGGCGGAATCAGCCCGGAGCCTTACTTTCCTTCTCGGGCCTGTCCGCTCCCCTCTCAGGCACGCGGACTCGGCTCGTCCAGCGGGCTAAGGCCAGGGGCACTCACCTTTATTCGCCACCCGAGTTGATAAGGGGAGCCCCCGAGGGGCGGGAAGCACACCTCTATTCCCACCCTTCCGCTGTGACCCCGTTTGGACGTGCCAAAGGCGACTTCCGGGTAGGACAGAGCTTTTCGGGGCCCTCAACACTTGTACACCCGGGGACATGACCAGAAATCTCTGCCCAAAAAAGCGCCAGCTAACTCGCACCCTCCTGATCCCCCTTCGTGGCCAGGTGGTCTTAACTACCTAATTTGTTCAAAACGGGACGTCAAATCAGCTCTGGTCCTTGAGGCCTACTTACAGAGGGGATCTCTTCCCACAAGGCTCAGCTGTTGCCCTGAGCAGTGGTGCGATTGGGTAAAGGGACGATTACGTCACACGTGAGACAGGAAGTTAGGCTTCGCCGTTGCCATGATCCGTTATGGCGGCCTCAACTTCAACAGTAACTTCCGTTTGGGAAATGCCGCTCTACCCTGCGGGAGGCTTACTCGGTGGCTTAGCGTGCCAGCGGCGCCCAGTGGGCGGGAGACAGGGCTGGGGAAGGGAAAAGGGCGGAGCGAGGAGAGCTGGCGCCGACGCCTCACTCTGATTGGGCGGTGTCCTCCGTCCTGGCTCCTCCTATTCTCCTACGCCAGCGAGTGGCAAGCCCGCGCCGGAGGGGTGGGGCGGGGCGGTTGG